GCACTAAAAGTACTTTTTGGAGCTCATTCCGTAAAAAATCCACTTTAAAGATTTCTGGAACCCTCAATGCCACCCGATTGTCTAATCCGGCCCCTCCCATGTAGCAGTCGTAATAATGACGAGAAAACAGCATCATTTCCCTCCTGTGCATGAGTCACTCGTGACGACATTTGCTCCGAACGTCTATTTAATGTGAAAACTACCAGCAAATACAAAGTTAAAGCCGTAACGAAAGATATTTCCTGCCTGTAGTTGCGGCCGTGCCTAGCATGTTCTGTCTCAAGCGGGTGCATACATTATACTTGCGCGCATGTTCGTTACTAGGGGCCAAGTAGATGTTTAGCAGTTCTTTTGTGCGTTCGTGCATGCAACAAGAGCGGGGATGGGTGCGCTTCGGTTGCGGTTGCTGTGTAGCATAAGTTCCGGCGGCGTGTACTGCAACGCATAACAGGACGCCTCCTCCCCCCACCAGCCCCACGTCTTTGTGACCAGGATGGCTGGAGGCTGAAGGGGCAGCCAACTGGCCTTTATTGACGCTTATTTCGAGCACTTTGACTCAACAGGACACGGCAGTCCTCGGCGGTGGTCAAACACCCTCGTTGCAGCTTACACAGTTCAAAGCGCCAGCTAATCTCGCGCTTCTTCTTCACTCTTTGTGCGTACCTTGTTTCTCTTGGCTAGTTTGCAGATGTTCTCTCTACATGAGCGAGGAAGGACAGATTTAGGAGGGCGGTGTACGCACCGATATTTGCGTGCATATTCACTACTGAAACGGCGAAAATGCGTATTTCATAACTGTTTACGGTGTTTCTGCATGAGCAGAATGACGTCTGCAGTAGAAATTGAGATAAAGATTTCCTCGAAGCAGGAGGGCTAAGCTGCCTCTCCACGTACCAAGAGTTGTTCTGGTGGCTTCCATGCAACTCTCAACGGCCCTTGGGCAGTGCCAATGATTCTCGCTGCAGTTACTGTATAAACTCGACGTAACAAGCAAATATGTAGTATCTGCAGTTTATGCAGGAAAAAACCCGCAGTACCACACCAGGAACGAAGGATTGCACCAGCGTAGCAGAGCCTACAAGGCGGCACGAAACACCTGCCAACAGCTCATTTTGTAGTCCCTGCAAGGGCAGTCCCTGCGGTTTACGGGGCTTAAATTATGAAAAGGAGCACCTGCTCTACTAGAAGCAGAGTTCGCGCTTGCAACATGGCTACGCCATTGCACCGGGTAAGAGCAGAAGGATGAAAGTGCCTTCGTCCAAAGAAATATATCAATTCGTTGCCATAATACCATAATGCACCCATCCATGCACTCATCAATCGCTTCTCTGGGTTTCGTAATGGACCCTTCAGTGCAAATTCAAAAATTGATTTCCCCGGTGAACTGCAAACAGCCAATCGGCTGGCAAAGCCGTTTTAGTTTGCAAGTTGGACTAGCTATAATACGCATAACTACATTCTGCTCCTTGATACAAATCAAAAAATAATACGGGGGGATAAATAGACGAGAATGCATCTGTGAGCGCTCAGGGCTTGCGAAGCAAGATCCCACAACCGCCCGACGAGCGAGAGCCTCATCATCACGACAGATAGCATGGCATGGCAAGCCCGGCTGCGGATGCTTTCTGTCTTTTTCATCGAATCTACCTCTGCATTCCTTTTTTTTTGGTCACATTTGGCTATTTTTTTCCAAGACTTCGCATTTATATCGCCTACAAACAGTTTTTCTCTCCTATCTCCGGGGCCGGAACATCTGGTCATACAGTGTGGTAGCCGGTGGTGAGCTTGGCAGCCTGTGCTTCTCCTCCTTCGAACAGCCGTCGGCTGATACGGACGCAGTTAGCCCAAAATGGCATTACTAAGTAAACTAAACAGAATCTGCTCAGCTGCAGCTGTAGCAATTGCATTATCGCTCAGTTCCACAGTCAGCGCAATGGACCCTTCCACCGTGACAGCGGAGCGCCTGTATGGCGAAATCGCTGGACCGAGCGTGGAGGCGAAACCGAATTTCGTCTTTTCCCCTTACAGCATTTTCAGCG